ATCTTTTGAAATTCTACTTGTATTAGATTGGTCACTTAATCATTGGCCAAAATGGTTTCTTCTCTACGCCAGCCGTATCCAACCTGATTAGGAAAGGTTTTGAAGGGAAGCACATTGATGGAGGTATTCCACAACTGCCACGCGAAGCTTTGAAGTTATTTCTGCTTTGTTTTAGGTATAATTCTCACTGCAAGTCACAATCCTGGTGGTCCGAAAGCGGATTTCGGCATCAAATATAACTGCGAAAACGGTGGTCCTGCTCCCGATCACGTAGGTTTCCTACACAATTCTTTTGTATATCAGACCAGTCCAGGCGCAGAGCGATTGGAATTTTTACAGTTTTTTAATCCATTCATTCTGTACGGTGCGCAAAGATCAACGATTAAAACTTTGTCGACTGTAGTGTCGCGCAAATTGGTCGAGTATAGCTACCGTACCATTTGGAACCAACACTCTCTCGAAGGGTATCCCCTCAGAGTTTTCTTTTTTCAGGTAACCAATGCTATCTATGATATAACCACTAAGATCTCCTCATATGCAATCTGCAAGGATTTGCAATGCGATTTCAAGACACTAGGAAGGTAGGCTTAGAATTCCTTGATAATTTTTGGATTGTTGCGCCTTCCGTAGCGTGTTTGCATAACCTGGTTGCTAGTTTTATTTGTCACTGTTATAATTCTACGCTTTCTCTGTCAGAAAGGAATTCGACATTGATGGAGTGGGACATTTTGTTGTTGACGTCGTTGACTCGGTAAAAGACTATGTTGAACTCATGCAGAAAATTTTCGACTTTGCAAAGGTGAGCCTGCAAATATTGATCGTGTACCTTCTTTGCTTCAAACAGCGGTGCCAATAAAGTGCTCTACTATTGCACTAATTTTTACTACCCTTGCATCTGTCAGACATCTTCCAGATCAAATCGTTCCTTGCTGGCGAATCGAACGGGAAAAAGTTCCAGTTGCTGATAGATTCTATGCACGGAGCTACTGGTCCCTATGTTTCTACAATTCTTTGCGACGTGCTTGGTGTTGATAGTCGCTGTTGCATGAGGTACACATTTTTTTGAGCTCGCAATTTTCGATGTAATCATAAATGAATTGAAAATGAACCGAAAATGAACCGTCTTGTACATGCGCAGGTAACGTCGTGAGAGCATGTACAAGTAGGTTATGTGAATTCGCTGACTGCCAGCGTTATTTATGAAGTGGCACCTCGATAATCTCATGACTGCATCCTTATTTGCGTTATGACAACGTGGCAAGTTCTTTCCTGTCTAAAGCAGTACTCAAATTTTCCCCAGGACCAATCCAAAACCGGACTTCGGAGGAGGCCATCCTGATCCAAATCTCACGTACGCCAAAAATCTGGTCGATCAGATGAGTAAAGGAGAGCACGATCTTGGGGCAGCATTCGATGGGGATGGAGTGGGTTTCAATAACTCACTTGAAATCTTGCGTCAAAACGTCTGTTCTAGGACCGCAACATGATCCTCGGCAAGAATGCATTCTTTGTGACGCCTAGCGACTCACTAGCGGTCATTGCAGACAACTGTAGCTGCATTCCATATTTCCAGTCACATAAAGTTGCCGGTAAGTATCACCCCGGCACATGATTGAAGATAGGCGTCATCACATTACATTACAGGATTTGCGCGATCTATGCCTACTGCTGGAGCTGTGGATTTAGTAGCAAAAGCAAAAAACGTGGAGGTAAGGCGATAAGTGTGAATCTTTATCTATTTTTTCCTCCAACTCACCAATCTTGTGAAGGGGAAATCAAATTAGGCGTAGATAGCATGCCTTTGGTGCAGGTTATCTAGCACACCGGACTTCACGTCATACAGCCTTTGCACTTGTGGCGTGAGGTCGACCTTTGCGCATTGCCTCATGTTTGTATTGCCCAGCTGGGATGCTTCGAAACAAGTCATCAATACATTTAGGTTTTCGAAACACCCACAGGATGGAAGTATTTTGGAAACTTAATGGATGCTGGTCGGATCTACCTGTGCGGAGAAGAGTCGTTTGGTACTGGCAGTGATCATATCAGGTGAGAGACTTTGTAACTATGCTGTCTTATGTATTTTTGCGTTCTCCACCACTTTTAGGGAAAAGGATGGTGTATGGGCTATGCTGGCTTGGCTGCAAATCTTAGCTGAAAAGAAAGCTTCGGTGGAAGACATCGTCAAAGCTCACTGGAAGCGTTACGGAAGGAATGTGTTCACTAGGTTTGTCATTTGTGCAGTAATATAGGTTGCGAAAAGCTTCATAGGCTGCCAAATGATGATTCGGTCGGAGTGCTGCAACTTCGTTATTTAATTCAGATCACTCGGAACTATGAAAAACAAACCAGGTTTAAAGGAATGGGAACATTCAAGTTATTAGAACTCATGTAACTGTTTTGCATGAATGCGCATTCCCAAAATACCTGTCTGCATCCAAGCTGCAATTTAAAAGCAATATGCCTAACAAATTGTAGAAAAAATTGTGTCTTGTAG